AAGTTTAAATGTTTGGCACAATAGATTTGGTCATGCTAGCATAGACATTGTCAAAAGAGCTTTGAATGATTGTAATATTCCTTTTGATATCAATGAGAATGACACTTTGTGTTGTGCATGTATGAAGTCTAAAATGCATAAACTTCCTTTCTTTGCCTCAGAAAATAAGAACTATGATGTGATTGAGTTCATACATTCTGATCTTTGGGGACCAGCCCCAGTCAAATCATTTCAAGGATACTCTTATTATGTTTCATTTATTGACTATACCAGTAGAAATACTTGGGTCTACCTTCTCAAACAAAAGTCAGACACCCATGCAGCCTTTGTTCACTTTAAAACCTTTGTTGAGAATCAATATTCCAAGAAAATTAAGGTGTTTCAAACTGATGGTGGTGGTGAGTTCATTGGTTTGGCTAAGTACCTTGCTGAAAATGGGATTAAACATCAAATCTCTTGCCCTTATACCCCAGAACAAAATGGAATGGCTGAGAGGAAACATAGACATCTTATCCAAGTTGCCTTATCCTTGCTTGCTCAGTCCAACATGCCCACTAAACATTGGGATGATGCTGTCTGTAGTGCAGCCTTTATAATAAATAGACTTCCTGCCAAGATTCTTAACTATAGAACTCCCTTTGAGGTTCTAAATCAGACCAAACCAGACTACTCATTCCTAAAAACCTTTGGTTGTCTTTGTTATCCCCTCATGAAGCCATATAATCAACACAAATTGGACTATAAGAGCCTGCCTAGTACTTTTCTTGGATATAGCAGCCACCATAAAGGATATAGAGTTTTGCTTCCTGATAAAAAGGTGATCTTAACAAGACATGTCATTTTTGATGAAACACAATTTCCTTTCTTAAAGGGAACTGAACATTCACAACCTTCTTGCATTCATAATAATCTTGATAACCTTGATACAGCACCCCTTCACACTGTTACCTCATCAAACTTTGATCACCAAATTCCCCCCCACCACTCCACATCTAACTCACATACTTCCACTCCTGTCCACAGTCCCATACAACACAATCATCAACCTTCTTACACTTCCAACACCTCTCACCAAACACACAGCCCTTCTCACTCAGATAATTCCCTTACTCCTCCCTTAGATGGACATATCTTTGTTGATCTACAAATTGAGAATGATTCAACACCTGCTACCCATGTGCTTGTTTCTGTTCAGACTAATGTTGACACTGCAGGTGGTCATTCCATGATAACTAGATCCAAAGCTGGAATATACAAGCCTAAAGTGTACTCTTTGGCTTGTTCCAGCACACAAGAGCCCAAAAGTGTTCATGAAGCCCTTTCTATACCAAAATGGAAAACAACAATGCAACAAGAGTATAATGCTCTCATCAGAAATGGCACATGGACTCTCACAACCTTACCTGACAACAAGTCCTTAATTGGCAGCAAGTGGGTATTCAAGATGAAGCACAATGTTGATGGCTCCATTGCTAGGCATAAGGCTAGACTTGTAGCCAAGGGCTACACACAATTCCCAGGTTTTGACTATGGTGAAACCTTCAGTCCAGTAGCCAAGCTAGCTACCATAAGAGCAGTCTTATCCATATCCTTAGCCTCTAAGTGGTGTCTCAAACAAGTGGATATAGATAATGCTTTTCTTCATGGACACTTAGACACTGAGCTATATATGGAACAACCTGCTGGCTTCATTACTCCTGGCACTGAACATTTGGTTTGCCAACTTCACAAGTCCATTTATGGTTTAAAACAGGCCTCTCGTGCTTGGTTCAATAAATTGGGAGTCTTCCTTCATTCTCTGGGTTTTCTTACTAGTAAAGCTGATAACTCCCTCTACTTCAGACACTATGCTGGTGCTACTACATTACTCTTGGTGTATGTTGATGACATTGTCCTTACAGGCAGCAGCACTGACCAAATAGATCACCTCATTGCTCAGTTAAAGAAGGAATTCTCTCTCAAGGACTTGGGAGGCCTGCACTTCTTCTTAGGCATTGAATTTCAAAAGACTGAAACAGGTTATTTTCTCAACCAAAAGCAGTACATTGTTGACCTGCTAGCCAAAGTTGGCATGGAAAATTCCAAAGGGCTAGCTACTCCAATGATAACCTCTCCAGTCCTCTCCAAATTCTCTTGCCAACCTATGGAAGATCCTTCTCTTTATAGGTCAGTTGTTGGAGCATTACAATATGCCACAATAACTAGACCTAAAATATCATATGGTGTCAATAAAGTATCCCAATACATGCAAACACCATTGAATACTCATTGGAAAGCTGTCAAGAGAATACTAAGATATCTGGCTGGTTCTCTTCATCTTGGACTACATTTTCATGCACCAAGGAGTCTTCAAATCATGGCTTATGCAGATGCTGACTGGGGTTCAGATATTGATGATAGGAGGTCCACAAGTGGCTTTTGCATCCTTATGGGTCAGAATCTTATCTCCTGGAGTTCAAAGAAACAAAAGATTGTTTCTAGGTCTAGCACTGAAGCTGAATACAGATCTCTTGCTCATGCTACTTGTGATGTAGTTTGGTTGCAAACACTTCTGAAAGAACTCAAGATATATACCCCTAAGCCAGCCATTATATGGATGGATAATCAAGGTGCAGTCTCTCTTGCTAGTAATCCTGTCTTTCACTCTAGAACCAAGCATTTTGAGATTGACTTGCACTTTATCAGAGAAAAGGTGTCTTCTAAAGAGATTCAGTAAGGCACATTCCAGCCCTTGATCAAATTGCTGATCTATTCACAAAACCAATCAGTGGACAACTCTTCACAAGGTTTAGAAATAAACTTTTCATTTCTTCAAAACCCTTGCTCGATCTGAGGGGGGATGATAGCCATGGTGTATTCCCAGCAACCAAACAAGGCACTAAGGCCGTTGGGAAGCAAAAGTTGCCACTGCATGGGCACATGCAAGACATGCACACTCATACAGCTCATCATAGTACAATCTCCCATTGAGTCTTATCCTATTGGACACTTGTCATCATCTTGAACATTAGGTTAAAGGATGTAAGGTGTAGATCATTTATCTTAGCTCACAAAAGTAGTATAAATAGTGATGCATGGCAGCTTGAACATTAAGCTTTGTACATGAAAGCAGAAATCGATTTTCAGCCTCTCATTTTACTTCTTCTTTAAGCTTAAGTTTTATATTGCTTTAATAGTATGGATGTAGAGATTTCCCAATATGTTCTTATGAGAACTTTAAAACTAAAATGAAAGAAAATCTTTGTGTTTTTTTTATTAGGAATTTGTTTCTTATATATATTTTTGTTGGGGTTTGTAAAACGTTATTTCACTATTTTTATATGAGGATATCATTATGTTAATTCTAAATAAAAAAAATCACATATGCGTTCATATTTTCTATATTTTACTTAATTTATGCAATGATATTTTTAATAAATAAATTAATTTAAAATTAATTTATTTTACAACCTTACTCTGCGAAAATTATTCGACACCACGTGCATCACGTGTGCACTTACTAGTAGGATAAAAAGAAGCCCACCCAAAAATATTGTAATACTCCACACCAAGTCAAATGAAGTAAATGTAAGAGACACTACAATATTTAGTTGACGTGCCTTAAAAACAACCAATTTCGAGAATTCCATTTCACTGGCCAAATAAAACCTAGTTCAGCCTCAATTCCTCCCGTGCTCCTAAATCCTCCCCAAAGAATATCCGCCCTTAATAAACCTTTTATTTTCCATCAAAACCACATTTCATTTTTCGTGCACGCCGGCCCATCAAATTAATAAATAACAACTTCCCAAAATTTTACATATCTCCACAAAACCAACTTTTAACATGGAACACCACCACCACTACCGCCGCCGCCACCTCAGCCCCGGCAGCCAGCCGTTCTCCGACCGCGTGTCCCGCGCCGTGTGGCACCGCCTCCGTCTTCTCCACCGCGCAGACCCCCTCTTCTTCGTCCTCGGCTCTTCCGGCAACGTCTACACGGTGGCTGTCTCGGCCGTGCCCTCGTGCACGTGCCCTGACCGCGGTGCCCCGTGCAAGCACCTCCTTTTCGTCCTCATCTGTGTCCTCGGCCTCCCGCCGGACGACCCCTGCCTCGGGCGGCGAGCCCTCCGCCCCTGCCACCTGTCCCGTCTGCTCGCCCGGCCTACCTCTGCCGGCGCGCTAGCTGGCTCCGCCCTCAGGGAGAGGTTCCGAGAGATCTTCTTCGGCGGTGGTGGGCCGAGGCCGGCGCCGGCACCGGAGGTGAGCGGCGGTTGTTGCCCGGTGTGCTTGGAGGAGATGGGGAGGGAGGATAGGGTGGTGGCGTGCGGGACGTGTAGGAATGTGATACACGAGGAGTGTTTCTTGTCATGGAAAAGGAGCTGCCGGAGGAGGTCGGCCACCTGTGTGCTCTGCCGTGCAAGGTGGCGGGGCGGCGGGGACCGGGAGAAGTATCTTAATCTGTCGGCCTTTCTTAGTGAGGACGATGACGTGGTGGGTGGGGAAATTCGGCGCTGCAGTATTTGATTGCACTAATTTTAGATTTATTTGTTGTATATATTGTCCTTTATTTAATTTGTTTAGTTAAATTTATATGGGAGATTTCTCTGTTTATTTGTTAAAATAAATTTGCACATACGTTCCCTACATCTCCAATCATGCTAGTTAAAAAAATTGTGAAGTCTGAAATCGTTGATTTGAAATTGACATAATTTGATAATTAATTGTTGGAATATTTCTTGTGAGTCGTTTCACGTTGATTCGATAAGATAAATGAGCCTAATTAGTTATAACTAGTACGTATCCCGTGCAATGCACGAGACAGAGATATTAAATGAGTTATTTCACAGTCTTTTCAGTTTAAGTCTAAAAAGTAATAGGGTTATTATCTATTTTCTACCTCTTTTAATCAACATTAAGCCAAAAAAACAATAGAGTCATAAGCTTTTTTTTCCACATCTTTTAGCCAACATTGTTTTTTTAGCCAGAACATTAAATATTAGCATGTTAGGGCTAGCTTGTAAAATAATTAATATATTATCTCACTAAAACATTTATACTAATAAATATTTAATTTTAGCATATAAATTTATCCATTGATATAAGAGAAAGTAACAATTTTATTTCTTTTTTTCACCATATAATATTTAATTACTATTTTGTATATTATATAATAAAAAAAATACTGTTAAATAGTGCAGTAAAATTTTTATAAAATTATATAATTTCTTTTACAATATAGATTTAATATCTTTTTATGATTTGATAATATAACTATAATATATTATTAATGATATAATTATTTACTTAGTATAGCTAGAATGCTGACAAATAAAAAAAAAATATTAGATGCAGCCAATACGCACTCTTATCGCGACTTACAAGATTTTACATCAATAAAGTGGGATCCACAGGTCTCGCCGCCCACCAAAAAGTAGCTTTATGAAAAAGCAAATGCACAGATCCCGATATGTACATAAAAAGCTACTATAAATAGCTACCCTATGACACTTGTACAGGGGATCCCCGAACTCGTTAATATGCAACACGCAATAGCCCATAAAGGTTTCTACTATAAGATAAGGTTTTCTCGTTATGATGAGGTTTTTATCCATCATAATTTTCTAACATATATTAGATTAAAAATTTAGATGCAGCCATCATTCTGCTATAATTAAGATAAAGGTTTTCTCGGAGCGAGATGCATGTCACATGTGATCTAAACTTTTTTTTTAGTTTGTTACTTTTAATTATCACAAATTTGATCGTGTGAATTGATTTACAACATACTGTACGTTCAATTTTACAACATACTCTACATTCAATTAAGATTGATTTTCATTTGCTAATGATTTATAAAGTTTGATTATTAATTTGACCAAATATTTTGCTTATTGATTAGTTTGATTATTATTTTGACCAAACAGGAAAGATGAACTTGTTGGATCAATGTTGTTTATTTAAACAAACATAAAAAAATTTCATATTTTTTTTAGTCTTTATCAGTTTGTAACGTTTTATCAGTGTATGAAACATTTTCATGATTTTTTTTTATTCCACGATTTGTTAATTCATTACAGTTTTGAACAATCTATGAAAATTATTAAGCTGCCTTCTGGCAAATATGTATGTGGTTATGTGTTCGTGTATCATAAGTCGCAAACATAATGAATAACATTATAAATTATTCATTCAAACTTTTATTCATTACAAATATATTAAAATGATTTATATAACAACCATTAAATACTACTTTTAATATATTCATAAATAAAAAAGTACATATAATTTCTAGTGTGTTCAAATTTAAATAGTTTTTGATGGGCTCAATTTTAAATCATCCAGACATTTGGTTAAACACATAGGTGTGTTCAAATTTAAATCATTGGCATTTTGTTCGATTGAAATTTAAATCATGTTCAATCATCTATCATGGTACTGTGATGTGTATAATGTATATATATATATTTATATATATATATATATATATATATATCATGGTACTGTGATGTGTATATACTGTGATGTACAATTTTTTAACAAATAATATCTGTTTTAAAAAAATAATAATAATAATTTCACAAGATTTTAGACGTAAAATTTGATTTTTAATCACGATAGAAAAATCATTGTAAGTTGTATTGAAAAGGTGTTATGGGATAAAACAATTAAATAAATAATTAAATAAAATACTTAATAAAAATATAATACATTAATTACCTTTGACTTTTCTTATTACAAATTATAGTAAATAAGATAGCTTTTTATATATAGATTTAATTATTTTTTTTTACAGAATAGATTCTAAATTCCATATTGTAGAGATTTTAATCGGAAAAAACATTTATTATATATAATAGAAAGTTTTGTTAAGTAAATATTTATAGAGATTCTAATCGGAAAAAACATCTATTCCATATTTATAGAGATTCTAATAGGAAAAAAACATCTATTCCATATTACAATATGTAATTAATGAAAGTTTTGTTAAGTTACTATAATTAATGAATTTGGCGGGAAAAGATTACTAAAAGTTAATTAAGTTAATTCTTATTATATATTAATAGATTAATTGTTGGAATATCACTCGTGAGCCGTTTCACAATGATTTGATAAAGTAAATGAGACTAGTTTATAAATCTAGTGGACTACTCCTCCCATCACCATTTGGTTTTGGGATGGAACCTTATTATGGTGCAACTAGGCTCATCCTATTATGGTGCACGTCACATGTGTAAGACCGCACTCGTTTTGCCTCCGTTTGACATGGTATCAGAGCGGGCCTAATTTGGAACCTGCAATAGTTTAAATAAAAAAAAAA